TTTCCAATATTAGTGTGTGTGTGTGTGTGTGTGTGTGTGTGCGTGCGTGTGCGTGTGTTGAGTGTGTTTCCCTCCACGTCCTGCGTGATTCAGGGTTCGGGGTCTGGAAGAGGAGCCGCACACAAATGAAAGAAAAGAGACAAGAGACAATTTGGAAATATTGGGGGACCAGGAAGGCAAGTCCAACTCAAGGAGAGGGACTTCCAATGGTGCTCAGGCCTCACCAACCTTTTATTGATCTGGGATACACCCATAGCATAGCACTTAGGCAGACAAGTTCCAGTACACACAGACTAGCTCACCCACAGGCAATTTCCAGTAACAGGCAGACTATCTTATCAATAAGGATTTACATGATTAAAGGTGGGGAGGTTGCTTCAGCTACCATTATCTAGATTAACTGGGTGGTGCACAACTCCGACCTTTGCTAGGGCTTCAAAGGTCACCAGACTTTGGGGTCTCTGTCTAAGCTTCTCAGCTAGTGAAGATAGGTGGTCTCCGACTTCTGTGTGTGTGTGTGTGTGTGTGTGTGTCATATGCTCCTTGCCCTCTCCTGTCCATGCCTGAGCGACTACGACACTGCTCTGCCAGGGCTTCAAAGTAGGTCCAATATCTGGTATGCTGATCCACCTTAGCTTCACCTTTGAAGTTGTATTGGCCATGTACACATTTACATGAAGTTATGGGCAAAATTTCCTTAAAATATGTTTTTAAAATTAATTTCACAGAGAGGAAGGAAGGGGGAGAGAAAAAATCATCAATGATGAGAGAATCATTCATTAGCCATTCATTATTCATGTAGCTTCCTGCATACCCCCGACTGGGAAAAGATCCCAGAACCTGGGCAAGTGCCCATGCATGAACCTCCTGGTTCATGGGTCCATGGTCAACCACTGAGCCAAACCAACTGAGTGGTGGACAAACTTTTCGTATTTCATGTGATACCCTATTATCAATGTGTAGGGCAATCTTGGCAGGCATAGACATCTCTGAGGCACTGAGACTCTCCATCCATGAACATGGTATATATCTTTATTTCTCTGGGCCTTGTATGTTCTCAGTGAGTTGAAATCAAGTTAAAGGGGAAGCTGGAAGGGAAGGAAAGAGGCAGCCACGAGGGCAAAGAAGAGGAAGGGGAGCACAGAGAGGAAGAAACAGGATCAAAAAGAAAGATATATCACTCTGGGAAGATGGAGGGAAGTAACGCAGCGTGGAGAGAGGAAAGAATGGAGGGAGGAAAGGGGCAGAAAGGGAGAATATGAATCCGGGCTCAACCTTGTCTACCTGCAACCTTGGGAAAAGGGAAAAAGAACTTTGCCTCAGAGCAATGTGGTGCTCAGTAGTCATTCCCTGCTGTGAGAATTGGGACACGCTTGGGGATGAAAAGGGGTTCGCCCAGGTCCTGAGACACGGTGAGCTGCACCAAAAGGCAGAGGTTAATTTAAAACAAAGGGCATGGA